AAAAAAGAAAGAAAGCAAAGACAGGTCAAGGGTAGCTGCTCCTCCCACTCCCCAGACAAGTCTGATCACCCTGCCCCTTGCAGGGCGGACCCCCTCCCTTAGCCTGACCACCAGATGGTGGAGTAGAGGCCGGAGGGAACCTAACAGTACCACTAGCCTGGTGAGAAGAGCAGCCAGATGGAAGAAATGGCCCCCAGTCTTTCCTGGCAGAACGCACAGCAGGCATTCTGTGACCCCCAGCCCCGGAGACCACAGAGGCCACACGCCCTAGGTTGGGCATGTCTTTCAAGGCGAAGTGCTCTGGAAACGTGGTTAGCTCCCGGGACGCCGCAGGAGCCTGGGGCGACGCTCAGACTCCCGGTGGGCCTGCCGACGGCCAGCCCCAGGCAGTGAGCGCCCGCAGCGTGCGAGCAAAATAAACGTCCTTGAACAACACGCTGGGAACGCCCCAGAATCTTGGCTCTTGCAACCCTTTACCTTGAGCGCCGCGGTGTGTGCGAAAGTCGTCACATTTGTCCTGGCCGCCCCCTCCGGGGCCACACCCTGTGCAGCCGCGGCCACAAAAGGGGTCGCCCGGCCCGCACCGAGCCTGACTGCAGGACAGGCCTGGCCCAGCCGGGATGGGAGTTCTGCGCCCGGGCGGAGGGCAAGACCCCCTCCCTCCGCCCCGACACCCCAGGTTCGCAGGCGCCGGGGACCAGCGTGGCGGGCGGGGCCGTGAGGCGGGGCTCGAATTGGGCGTGGCTTCGAGAGGCGGTGCCTCTGGCGGGCGGGGCTTGGGGCCAGGGGATCCGGGGTGTGGCCGCGGGACAGGCCTCCGGCGGGCGGGGACCCTAGGGCGTGGCCACGCGTCTCGGGGGCGGGGCCTGCGCGGGGCGGGGCCTCCATAAAGCGGCGCGGCCGGCGGGCCCGCGCTCCGGGTCGGCGCCGAGCATGGTGGTGGGGGCGCCGGCCTCCCGGGCGCTCCTACTGCTGCCGTCGCTCCTGCCGCTGCCGCAGGTGGGTGGCCGGCGCTCGGCTCGGGGACCGCGGGGCGGGTCTGCGCTCGGCGCGCCCCGGCCCGGGCTCACCCCTGTCCCCACAGGTGGCGCTGGGCTTCGCGGACGGCAGCTGCGACCCCTCGGACTTGTAAGTCAGGGGGGTGGGAGCCGGGGCCCGGCCCCGCCCTGTGGGGGAGGCTCGGGCGGGGCCGTCGGCCCGGCTGGTGCCCCGCCTGCTCCAGGTGTCGCCGTCCCCGCAGGTGCCCGCCGCAGGCCCGCTGGAGCAGCCTGTGGCACGTGGGGTAAGTGCAGGCCGCGGCGTTCTCCCCCGGCCAGGCCCACCAGACCCCCACCCCTCCTGGCTCCACGGATGAGGAGTCGCCAGCACTGTCCCCTTCCGGGCGCTGATAGGAAGGCGCTGGGGCCCTCAGCAGCCTCCCGGGCTGGCCCCTGCTTCCTGCCCTCAGCACCAGGGCGGCCTCTCTTGTGGGCCCTGCGCCAGTCCGGGACTGCTCTGGGCACGCAGGCCCTTGGCAGGACTTCCCTTCATAGCCCGCTTTCCCACTTCCCACCCCCTCCTTCCTCACCCCTGCAGGAGGCCCCTGTGAACATGGTCATTGGTCTGGGCACAGGATTGTGTGGATGGCCTGGGACGGTGTGTCCTGGGAATGAGCCCAAGGCACTTGTGGCCAGCCCTGGAGAGAGCCAGGACAGACCCGGCAGCAGGATGCCAGGACGGCGGGCTCCTCAGGCCCAGCTCTGGCCTGGAAGGAGGTCTCCGGCCTGGAGAGACATTCTCTGGTTTTCTTTTATCCTGCCCATTGTCCTGTCTTGGGTGGTGCCCAGTGGCCAAGGGTCAGTCCAGTGGTAGGGTCTTGCTCCTCCCTGCACAGGCTTATCTTACTCGCTGTCCTTCTGCTGCTGCTGTGTGGGGTCACAGCCAGCTGTGTCCGGTTCTGCTGCCTCCGGAAACGGGTACACAGCCAGCCACACCTGCCACCAACACCTCAGCCTTGTGACCTGACGGTCAGCCCTATGGATAGTGACAGCCCAGTGCACAGCACGGTGACTTGTGAGTGCCTGCAGACCTCACCTGTTGGCTTGCCTGCCTGCAGGGGGCGAGTGGGGGGCAGGTGAGAGCAGACTCATCCCCACAAACCCACTCTGGTTCCCTGCAGCTTACAGCTCTGTGCAGTACCCACTGGGCATGCGGCTGCCCCTTCCCTTTGGGGAGCTGGACCTCGACTCCATGACCCCTCCTGCCTACAGCCTGTATGCCCCTGAGCTGCCACCCTCCTATGAAGAGGCCGTCACGATGGCCAAACGCAGCCAGGAAGAGCCACCCCCTCTTAGTAACGCAGTCCTCTCCCTGGGGCCTGAGGCCTAGAGACATCGGCAGGGCTTCAGGAGCCAGGCGCCAATGCCCAACACCCCTGGCTGTAGCCCTGGTACCCCTCAAAGGCAGAGGAAAACTCTCTTGAACCTCCCAATTCTGCCAGCTACCCTATGCTCAGAGGGGACCGGTGCAAGGACCCTTGCAGCCAGGGACCCCCCAGCACATCCCTGCCATCCTTCCCCAGGGAAGGCCAGCCCGTCCAAGCACATTGCTGCAGCCCTGGCCTTGTTGCTTTGTTAACGCCCGGCAGCCCAGCCAGCTGGCCCTGTGTTGGCCACACACATGCACCCACACACACCAGAGCATGCACACATAGGCTGCTACATTCAGCCCTGACCCCACAGGCCTAAGCCTCAGGGCTCGGGGCTGGCTGTGACACCCCCAGCTTTTTGGAGAGAGAATAAAGTTTGTGCCTAAGTGATCTCCATCTGTAGGAAAAGGCTCTGGGAGGGGCCTGTGGGTAGCCACCCCGCCCCCAGTGCGGGCAGAAGGGCAAGTGGTAGTCTTCGACCTGCCCCCAATCTGGCTTTCAGGTTGGTGTCCAGAGCCCAGAGCTGAGCAGTGGGTGGTGTCAGATGTCACAGCAGGAGTGACGGGCCATGTGCCATGGCTGCCCTAGGAAAACCCTCTCTTTTCTCCAGTCCCAGATCCTTGCGAGCCTTTTTGGGCTAGGTAGGAACAGCAAAGCACACAGCAGTCTGGCGGGAGTGTTTATTGGCCAGAGGTGGGGCCGGATGGGGTGGGCGGCAGCCAGCAGTGGCCTTCTTCGGGCAGGCCTCCCATGGCCACAGCACCTGCTCCTACTGGACCAGCTTGAAGGACTCTCCGGTCATCATGGCCACAAACTCTAGGAGTCGGAGGACAGGTCAGCCACCAGCCTGGCCCCGCCCCCCGCCCCCAGGCCCGCTCCTCACTCACCCTCGTAGTCAATGGTCCCATCCCCGTCCTTGTCAGCCTCCTTCATCATCTGCTCGGCCTCTGCCTCACTGAGGGGCTCACCTGCGTTCATGAGCACGTACCTGCGGGGCCCCCGCGCTGAGTGGCGGCGCCTAGGGTTCTGGCCCTCGCCCACCCCGCCGCAGCTCCAGGCCCTACTTGAGCGCGTCCCAGTCGATGTAACCCTTGCCCTCCTTGTCGAAGACACGGAACGCCGCCCTCAGCTCGCCCTCCTGGTTCTGGGCCTTCTCCCAGTAAATCCCCATCAGGGCCAGGAAGCTGTCACAGTTGAAGAATCCTTTGTCTGCAGGGAGCAAGCAGCAGGGCGGGCCGCATGAGGGTGAGCTGGTGCGGCCCTCCCCGCTCACACGGGGGACACCCCCCCCAGGACTGCCCCCCGCCCGGCCTCACTGTCTCTGTCCACGTCCTTGGCCATGGAGGCCAGCTCACTCTTGGTGGGATTGACGCCCAGCAGGCTCATGAGCCGCTCCAGCTCTCCGGTCTTCACCTGCCCGTTGCCCTCCTCGTCGAACATCTCAAAGACCCCCTTGTACTCCTTGATCTGCTCGGCTGTCAGGCGCTCCGTCTGCAGGGACACCGGCCCAGCCTCACCGGGGCCTCCTCTGCCCCTCAGTCTGAGGGAGGGTGGAGGCCCCAGCACACACGACACCCGACCCCGTACATCCACTTGGCAACCCTTCAGGGCCTGTGGTTAAAGAAGGAGGCCCCCAGCCCAGAGCAGCTTCCGGATAAGGTGGCACAAGGGATGGGTCTCGAGGGCTGAGTGGGACTCTGTCAGGCAGCTTCAGGGGAAGGACACACGAGGCAGAGGCCAGGTGTGAGGCACCAAGGCTCAGGCCAGCCACATGAGGGAGAGTCAGGTGGGCCCAGGCTCTGGGGCGGAGGCAGTGGACACCAGGTGAGACCAGGTGAAGGACGCCATGGGGGAGCATGACCCGGGTGAGGGCGAAGGACCCCAGCCTGTTCTGGCGTTTCTGGGGATGGCCTACCACTGCCATGGCAGCTTTCAGAAAGGGCTCCCCCATCCCGGCCACCAGAGCGAGGGTGGCATCAGCAGCCAGCAGGGCTCAGCCGTGGCCACCGCACTCCGCCCTCTCCCTCCAGCCTTGCTGAGCTTCTCCCTCGATTCCCAGAGAGGCACTCACACCCGCGGGTAAGGCCCCAGCCTGTGCCTGTGCTTGGAGGCCCTGTCCTGTTCTCTGTCCCCCACCCCACCCCCGGGCACTGCTCCCAGCGCCCACTCCACCACCCAGCCAGCCCACCAGGGGCGGTGCCGGGTGCCGGGAGCAGGCTTACCATGTCTGCGGCCGGCTGGGAGAGCACAGCACAGTGGCACCGGTGACTAGGGGCAGAGGGGTGTCAGCCGCATTTTAGCTGGGCCCAGCTGCCTGGGGTCCCCAGAGTCCAGATTCCACGGCCCTTGTATGGCTAGGAGATCCTGCGGCCCTATTTCGGGACAGGCTTGGCCCTTCCCCACACACGGCCCCTTTCTGGCCCTCCTTGGCATGAGCATCCCCTCACCCCGAAGCTCCCTTTCGGAGCCTAGGTCCCGGCGAAGGCCCCACCCCAGCCCCAGGCCTCCGGAGCCAGAGCGCAGACAGACACCATGGGCTGAGGGCCAAGGGTGGGAAAGGGGCTGCCGGGTGGCCCGGGAGGCCCGGCGTGCTCGGACACGCGTTCTCCCTTTGCTGCCTCCTCTTCACCGGGTCGGCCTCCTCGAATCTCCTTCTCGGCAGCGGCTGCCCTTCCTCCGCTCTGCCGCGGGACCCTCGCAGTGGCCCTGCCAGCACTCACGTACGAGCGTTCTTTCTGAATGCCCACGCTGGCCCCGTGACACCCCCATATCCCTATGGGCCCAGTGCTTTGCAAGCAGTCTCTAAAGACAGGCTGAGAGAACGAATGCATCCCTCTGGCCACCCTGTGCAGAAGGGGCTGGAAGTCGGCAGTCCGGGGAGGGGACAACTGGCCATGGGGTGGGGGCCGGAGGGCAAGACAGGACCAGGGGGCCAGACTGGCCACCAGGAGGCCAGACCAGGTTTCCTCCGAGCAGCCAGGGGCTATTCTGGGGTTTCTCGGAGAAACCTGACCTCCCTTGCACTCAGAACAGCAAAGCTGGCTCCCGAGGGAGCCTCACGGCCTGGCTGTTCGGTGACGAGCTGCCTGAATAGCACGCACACAAGACTGCGGACGTGCGCTCAGCCCCTGGGCACAGGCACCCACCCTCCCCTCCACCGAGGGCCTCCTCCCTCCCACCCCAGCACGGGGCACAAAACCCACTGGCCTGGCCACAGGGCTCAGAGGCTTGCGGTTACAGGTGGGAGCCTCGTGGGTTGAGGGGACTCCTCCCATCCCAGCCTCCAGCTCCCCCCAGGGATAGTCACAGATGGGTGCCCCCACCTCATACCCTCACGCCTGTGCATGGCCCCCCAGAGTCACACAGACACACGCCTGCCCCAGCCCATGACTGCCTGGTGATCTGAGCAGGTGAGATGTGCCGTGCCCCCACCAGCCCGGCTCTGGGCCTGCCGGAATGTCTGAAGCCTCCGGGACACTCCCCACTGAGGCCCAGTCCAGCTGCTGAGGCCGCAAGATTTGTGCTGACGGACAGCATGGCTCCAGCGGGCACCAGGCCAGAAGGCCCAGGGGACAGGGTTGAAGAGGAAGCGGGCTCCAGGTCTGGGGGGTGGTCCCCTACCTTTGCCCTGGCTACTCTCTCTGGTTCTGGTTTCAGGCTTTGTGACGATGAGAAGAGACTCTCCCACTCCCTTCCCTTGAAAACCTCAAACTAGAACAGGAGTCAGAAACATTTCAATAAACTAGTCCCCTCTACAAGCCCAAACATGTGAGGCAGGAAGCCAGTGGGCACCGGCCGCGAGACAGGGCAGGGGCCTGAGGAGAAAGCAGGCAGGAGGGCTAATTTCGCGCGTCTAGCTAGACTGCAGAGCCCAGACTTCTGCTCAGACACTAGTCTAGGTGCCGTTAAGAAGGGGGTTTTGTTCATATATTTATTGATTACAGTGGCAAAATCAACATGAACTATTACTCAGGGAGAAGTGACATTTACTGAACATCTTTTACATACCACGATCTTTTTAATTTGGTAAAAAAAAAAAACACCTCACATATAAAACTGACCATCGTAGAGCGCCTGGGTGGCTCAGTCATTAGGCGTCTGCCTTCGGCTCAGGTCATGGTCCCAGGGTCCTGGGATCGAGCCCCGCATCGGGCTCCCTGCTCGGCGGGAAGCCTGCTTCTCCCTCTCCCACTCCCCCTGCTTGTGTTCCCTCTCTCGCTGTCTCTCTCTGTGTCAAATAAATAAATAAAATCTTTAAAAAAAAAATCAGTAGACTTTGAATAAAGCAGATGACCCTGATAATGTGGGTGGGCCTCCTCCAATCAGTTGAAGACCTTAAGAGAAAAAGAGTGAGCTCCCCAGAGGAGGAGGGAATTCTGCTCCAGAGGGCCTCTGGGTTTGAGCTGCAACATCAGCTCCTCCCTGGGGCTCAGCCCTGTGAACTCACCAGCCCCACAATCGCCACAAAGGGAGCCAATTCCTTAAAATAAATCAACCTCTCTCCCTCCCTCTCTTACTGGCCTGTTTTTCTGGAGATTCCGACTGATTCAGAAGGCCCCTGAAGGCAGTATGCCCCAAGCACCTGGGCATCTGTGTCTGGGCCTTCGGGACCACCCTCCCAACTGCAGGGCACATGGAATTTCCTCCGGGCAGGAAGGAGGCATGGGCACCCGAAGGGAGCTGCTGAACTCACAGACTGGAGACCCAGGCCAGGGTGTAGTGAAAGGCTGCGTGGGTGACAAAGTGATCCCAGCCCCTTCCCACCAGCAAGTGCCTCCCCAGTGACCCCTCCCCGGAAGAGGGAAGAAACCCATAGACACTGGCGCTGGGGGGTCCCCAGTGAGACAAGAGCACAAGGCCCCCACCCTTCCAGGGCAGCCTCAGGTACAGACCCAGGTCGCCAGCCACTGTGGCCCCAGGTAGAACCTCTGAACGGGTAATTTCATGCAGGCTGAGTCCCCATGGCTGGCCCGAGGCTTCAGGCAGCACAGCCGGACTTCCCTCTGCCCAATCCTGCCTCCCTCCCTGTCTCTGGGGTTGACCCCTTGTGCACAGCTTGTACCCAAACTCCATCTCGGGGTCAGCTTCCGTAGGACCCAATGCACAACTAGAAGGGGTATTAGAGATGGATTCCTCACCGGCCGTCTGCGACAAGCCACCACTGGGGGTAGGCACACACTCCTCCCTGGTGGTTCACCTGCTGCAACAGTCACCGTCCCGGATTGGGCGGGAGGGGGATGAGAGACCAGGTGGCGGCTGCCCAGCACCTGACCTGTTGTCAGGACCCTGCTGGGGAAAGCGGGGACCTTGCCGGGTGTGTGGGGACATCCAGGTGGCTGCACCTTCAGGGTTTGCTCACCTCTCCCTGGGAAGAGCTGCACCCCCGCCTCAGCTGAAATAGAACTCTGAGGCCTCCCCGCCAACCCCCCCAGGCAACACTTATCCCCATTAGGACATCCACCTCCCCTCCTAGCCACTAGGCCAACAACCAGCGGTTGAAGAAAATATTCACAAATCCTGTATCTGATGAGGGATTATTTATTTGAGAGAGAGCATGAGCAGGGGAAGAGGTAGAGGGAGAAGCAGGCTCCCCGCTGAGCATAACCCAGCTGGGGACGACTTGGGTCTGACAGCTCAAGGACAGCGAAGGATGAAGGGACCAATGGACCGAGGTGGCAGGAGCTGGGGGAGCACGGGCAGCCCCAGGGGCTCCTTTGAGGGGCTGGAGCATAACCGAGGCAGGCGTGAGACTCTACACCTACCAGTGGTTCTCATAGCTGCCCCTCTTCCTGCAGCTTCTGCCTGAGGTGTCCTAAGCCAGCACAGGGCAGGCCACAGTCCGGGACCCACACTCTGCACGGTGCCTGCAGCCCCCCTCCTTGCCCACCAGCAACGGTGCTGCACCCGCGCCGCGGTCTCCTCAGGGTCCTGGTGTGCTGAGCCCCATTCGTTGCCCACAGTGTCACCTGCTACAACCCCAGGAAAAACTCCGTGTCCTATAGTCTTGAGTCTTTGTTTCGGGGTCTGCTCGGGGGAGCCCAGCCTGGACAAGGGGCGTAAAAACAAACCCAAGCTCTGGACCAGCAACCACGGCAGATGGGGAAGGGATGCGAGTATAAGGCCCCAGCAGCGTTCAGGAATGGCCAGAGCTGGTCACTGAGATTACAGTGTATGTGGAACTTTAAGTTAACCACTAAAATAATAGAAATGGATTGTGTGGGGCGCCTGGGTGGCTCAGTCGGTTAAGCGGCTGCCTTCGGCTCAGGTCATGATCCCAGGGTCCTGGGATCGAGTCCCGCATCGGGTTCCTTGCTCGGCAGGGAGCCTGCCTCTCCCCCTGCTTGTGTTCTTTCCCTCTCCCTCTGTCAAATAAATAAATAAATAAATCTTAAAAAAAAAAAAAAGAAATGGATTGTGTAACTTCCATATCTAGGAGGGAAAAAGGAATAAAGAAAATGTAATGAACCCAACAGAACTCAGGAAAGAAGAAGGAAGCCTAAGAAAAGCAGCACAACTAGAAAGCAGCAAGTAATGTCGTAAATGTAAACCCAGCCACCTGACAGAGCTCCCAGGGTCTGAGGCTGGAACAATGTGAGCAAGAAAAGAAATCAAGAAGGATCAGACTATAACCCAAGTATAAAATAAATATCCCTTGTGCATCAAAGCACACCATCAGCAGGGTGAGAAGGCACCCCACAGACTGGAAGAAAATATTCACAAATCCTATATCTGATGAGGGATTATTTATTTATTGGAGAGAGAGAGAGAGCATGAGCAGGGGAAGAGGAAGAGGGAGAAGCAGGCTCCCCGTTGAGCAGGGAGCCCGATGCGGGACTCGATCCCAGGACCCTGGGACCATGACCTGAGCCGAAGGCAGACGCTTAACTGACTGAGCCACCCAGGCGTCCCTGATAAGGGATTCATATCCAGAATATATAATCCCTACAGCTC